TATTTTTCATTGCGGTATTTCATAACATTTCTCGCCTTGTCTGTGTCCTCCACGGGCTTTCTTGGTTTTTCTTTCTGCTGGTTTGCAGGAGCTCCCGAACCAACTGGTGTTGATGCCAACCACGAAAATGACTGCTGTACTTTTGGAACGGTGTGTTCCTCATCGGCTGCATAACAAGAGACCACTGTTGATTTGTCTTCTTTCGTTGAATTGGCTTGGCCGAAAGATTCAGGTTCTGTATTCTGCACCATTCCACTGACTTTCGTTTCTAGTTTGGTCTCTTCTACTTCGTTACATGTCTCCTGTCTTTGGTCAAGCGATTTCTGTCTCTTGGTAGGACACGATCCCATTTCGTTCACGTTTAAAGCAGTTTCTCATTAATGCGAAACTATCACAAGGTGAATATTCACCAGCATGTAATAATACGTCAGGCCGGCGTTAAGCAATAGTGGAAAACACTGATTATTTTTATCACTTTTACGTGTTAATGACGTTACCGCACCTTGTTTGGAAACTCAGAAAATGAAAAACATGGACAAGTACAGGAACGAAGCTGACACGAAGCATAATATCAAATAAATTAATCCATCTTAGGTTACTAGGAACCTCAGTAACGGTTATAGCGTGTTATCGCCCTTAAAATTTAAACGTGGTTGCTGAAAAACTCACTGACGTTTGTGCGTACGAATGATGGTCGGGTTCTACGAATGACGTGTTATTGTTGAGCAGTAACGCCACGAGTCCGAAGAGAAATTTTATTTGATATATTTGTTTATATATTTACAGTGTCCCAAATCAGCACAACAGTGCTAAATACATTTGACACTTAAATAAAGTTCTTTATTTTATTTATTTCATTATGGCCGCGAGCCAGTATACGGAGAATTCTTTACTGATAGGGAGGAAGGAAGGGTCTGGTCTTCGTGGTTCCTGTCTGAAGAGCAGGGAATAAGTTTAGATTCTATACACGAGAGGTAACCAATTTTTCTCTTTTCAGGCGCAGCTAAAATTAACAGGGGGCTTATCGTGATAAACTTTATAGGATGTAGCTCATTTAGTGATGATAGAGCGGTGAACGTCCCGCCTTCGATTCTCGGACGTGTGAAAGTAGTAAAGTATTTTTAAGTTTTACGTGTCGAGGCGCTATTCTTACCAAGAGAACTGCACTAGTGAAAACATGGTAAAAATTTGTTGACTTTTACCAAACATTTCACTGGGAAATTCACCACTAAATTTTTTCCCGATTCTTATTGCTTTAAACTGATCACGTGACGGGATAGTGTTCATCAACGGAGGGACACTTTCTGCCCATAGTGCCCGTCCGAGGAAAATACCCGAATGGATAGTACTCCAACGTCCGTGAAAATTTTTCTGCTACAAGAAGGCTCAAAAAGAAAAAACAAAAACTTGAGGGACGAATAGATGGTAGTTTGATTTGCATTTAATGGGTTTTTGTCTGTTTTCTTTTGGCAAATTTTACATTTGGCTTTCACGTGAGTTCCGTCTAAAAAAGTTGAAAATAGTTCAATATGACTTTTCCACTGGCGCGCGGAAGAAAATTTGGTGGTGAACAATAACGACAATAGAGTGTTTATGTCTCGAAACTATCGGTCTGATAGTTGCCCCTTGCAAATTTGATGTTCTTAAACTAGCAAATTTTTTTTAAGTACATCAAATTTCTGCGGGGCAACTATCAACCGATAGTTCCTCGACAGAAACACTCTATTGTTTAGTTATAATTCATCAAATATATTTCGCTCGCATGTGTTTGTCTAAATGCGTCACGTGACTGAGTTTGCCCAAGTTATAACTGGAGAATATCTAAGTGATATTCCCCAATTTTCAAATCCCTGGTGTTGAGATAAATATTTGGATAGTAAACACAATAACAGACACAATACCCTCCAAATGTAGAGACGTCGTTTATTAATTTCGCTAATTTTCGTATTGAAAATATTCCCTCAAGCCTTATTTTATTTGACCCTCCATTCAAGTTTAAAAACGTGCTCGGATATTTGTCCGCGGACATTAGCCGTTCGTCGAAGCTCACAGTCTTCCTGGTAAACTGTTCGCTTCTTGGAACAGATACTGTCCGGGGACAAATATCCGAGCATATTTTCGCGCCAAATGGGGGCTATTATTTATTTATAGTTCACCATTCGTCAGTGTTCGTCTGTTCGTCTTTGGCCAAATTTGATCACATGGTACGATCTCGCGCGGGCGATATCAGGCGTTGAAATGCACCCGGGATTACTGCTGAGTTTGACTTGCATGAAAATGGTGTTCAGTTAAGGCTGGTTTTCACTAGAGCATAAGCACAAGCATAAGCATAAGCATGTGCACAAGTGAAAACAGCCGCGACATGAGCATAAGCAGAAGCAGAAACATAAGAACAACGGAACTCGTTTCTCTTGTGCTTATGCTTATGCTTATGTTGAGCGCGTTACTAGTGAAAACAGCACAAGATTAAATAAGTGGGTTCGTTCTTCTTATGTTTCTGCTTATGCTTATGTTTATGTCGANTATTTTCGCGCCAAATGGGGGCTATTATTTATTTATAGTTCACCATTCGTCAGTGTTCGTCTTTGGCCAAATCTGATCACGTGGTACGATCTCGCGCGGGCGCTAACAGGTGTTGAAATGCATACGGGATTACTGCCGAGTTTGACTTGGTTGAAAATGGTGTTCAGTTAAGGCTGGTTTTCACTAGAGCATAAGCACAAGCACAAGCATAAGCATATGTACAAGTGAAAACAGCCACGACATAAACATAAGCAGAAGCAGAAACATAAGAAGAACGAACCCACTTATTCGTCTTGTGCAGTTTTCACTAGTAACGGGCTCGACATAAGCATAAGCATAAACACAAGAACAACGGAACTGTTCGTTTCTCTTGTGCTTATGCTTATGCTTATGTTGAGCGCGTTACTAGTGAAAACAGCACAAGATTAAATAAGTGGGTTCCTTCTTCTTATGTTTCTGCTTATGCTTATGTTTATGTCGAGGTTGTTTTCACTTGTTCTTATGCTTATGCTTGCGCTTGTGCTTGTACTTAAACTCTAGTAAAAACCAGCCTTTAAGAGTCATTTTCATATGATTTTCCTCGCGAAGATTCGTTTTAACAAGGGAGAAAAAAGCAACTCGGAAATGGCCTAGCTTGCTATACTGATAATCTTTGAAGCTTCCGGTTATCTCCCCTAATCTCTCTCTTCACAGTTGATAACAGAATGGCAGAAACATTGCTTCCTCCACCTTCCTCTAAAAGAAAAATTCTAAAATACCCTGCTCTCCCAAATACCCTCCCAATGGCAGACAGAAATCTGCCTTCTATGGCCTTCAACTTTGAACACAAATAATTATATATTTGTCAGTTGAAACAATGTACAACTTGTCAAACGATAGATTGAAGTGAGAAGAGAACTTTTGGCGTGTTTGTAAGTTGTCTGGGCAAGTCTTGTTCCCAGGTTCTTGGCGTCGTTGATGATCTTGAAGTCACAAACAAACTTGCTTTACCAAAACTAATGTCGTTGCAACAAATCGGGACAAAGAACAAAATTATTTTCCTTTCTAAATTTCCATCAGAATTTGTACAGAGTTGGCCGGAAAGCTAGTGTGTAGTTCTTTCAAATCAAAACGGACAAAAGATTGAACAATATTTGTTTGCGTTGGCCGGTATTGTTTAGTCGATTTCCGTTCGAGCACGTTCCCCTTTTCTCAAAGTTTACTCGTTAATTAACGCTATCCAGTAACGAGTTTTGGAGAGCCTGGCAATTAACGGGTTTGTGGGCTTAAGCGAATTTTCCTTGTTCATTTCTACTAATTGTCCGCCTTATATCCTCCTCAAATGTTACAAAAAACAGAAACAAAGCCTCCCAAATCATATCATTTCGCAGTCTTCTGTTATGTAAAATTTCGTTAAAAGAGTTTAAGCTGTCACCCTTGTTCCTTCGAAACACAAACTAGTCCGACGGGCTTAGACATTGTTGCTTTTTTTGTTTTGTTTTTTGATGTGATTCAGTTTCTTTATGAATTCTACCATTATCGCTGCTTAAAACTACAAAGGTGTCGCAGTTTAAAGCAACATCTTTTGCAGATGTGAACAAAAATTAGGTCAAGTGGAAGATGAAGGATTATATTGTCAACTTATTGTGTGATGAACTTGTTTAATTGATATTAAAATTTGTCTGTATATATGGCTGAGTATTGAGTAAATAATCACTGGATTACACCACTCCAGTGTTTATGATCAATATTTGACAGAGAACTGCAGTCAAACATTGCTCTGAGAATATTGCTCATCTATAACGGATCTGTGTACGTAATGACAAAAGGCCTCTAGGCTTGTTGTAAATTGAATCATCTGCATGACAATGTAAACTGTCAGAAAACTTTTCAAAAACGCTGCTTTTATTATGAATATGAATTACTGTCGAGACCTTAATTTTAATTGCCCGCTGTTGGACCTATTCAAGCTTTATTTCTTCCCTCATCAACGAAAAATACGTGGATAAATTAAATTCGTGTTAGTCCTGTAATATAGCAACAAAGCCGGCTTCGAAATCGACTGTTCTGTTGCCAGTTTCGATATACACTTACCTCAATATTCGCTTAAATTGGACACAAATATTAAAGCAAACATGTTATTAACTTTGAAATGATTAATCTCACGGATACCCAGCTGTGTTCTAATGAAAATGAGGTTTAACAAGCGCCGTCGTTTTTCTCCCAATGCCAACCTTCTTCTGGCCGTATGTTATTGCCTGGTTCAATAGAGCTACCTTGCCGAATAATGGACACCATAAGAATCACAGGGATTAGAACCAGCAATGGTTAAGCATCACTGAAATAATTAATTATTCAAGTAAATATGTTGAATACTTGCTCTATTGTGTTTTGTCCTTTTGATGTTTGGAATGATTATGGTAATTAAAGATTTCTAAAAACTCCATTGTTCGCATGCAACGCCAGAAATGTAAATAGCTTTGTTGAATATTACACACGAAACCATGGCCTTGTTCTGAAGGACAGAACCAGTTGACACGGCTAGCTATTCACTTGATAAGCAAGTGGGACAAAGCGCTACAAAGTTTTGACGCGGAAACAGCAGCATCATGAGCAAAAACGATCCAAATCACATCAAGAGGCCCATGAATGCTTTCATGGTTTGGTCAAAGCAGAAGAGAAAAGAAATGGCCAAGGAGAACCCGAAGATGCACAATTCGGAAATCAGCAAAGTTCTAGGAGCGCAGTGGAAACTAATGAAGGACCACGACAAACGACCTTACCAAGAAGAGGCCAAGCGACTGCAAGAGAAACATAGTCAGGAGCACCCTGACTACAAGTACAAGCCAAGACGGAGGAAACAAAAGCAACTAATGAAGAAATCGACGTATTCGTTTCCATACGCGGGCGCGGAGCCTGCAGTCCATGCTGCCGCCATGAAATTAACGGCGTATCCGCCTACAATGGCACCCGAGACCATGTATCCGCAATACTATCAGATGCCTCAACACGCCACTTATCCAATGTATGATATGGCTGCGGTACACGCTCAGAGACAAACTCACGGTTTTCCACCGCCGCCTCCGAGTCATACTAACAGCGTGCATGATTTACCATATTCAGTTCGTCCGACTGAAATGATGGTTTCTCCAACGGGACCTCACGGACACACGGCGAGTCATCTTTACAGCAGCGCTATGGAACCGGGACCCACAACAAGCGCCGTCTCGGCGTTTTCTTCCGCGGCGTCCTTTGCACAGAACATTCATACTCAGCAAGTGACAGAATCCAGCTCGTCCTATCCACAACTGTATACACAACGGCATGTATAGGTTTGACTGATTAATGATTACCATGTGTATCTAACGGTACAAAAAGACAGCTTATCTTACAATTCATGTGTCAAAAAAGAATTTTGCCAACACTTGACATTCAATTATTAGCTAAGTTTATATTTACTTTTCTGCGAGAAACGATTGTAAACACCTCGAGTTTATAGGATTATAACGTTACGCTTTTGACTTGCGATCCATACATCGCAAAATGTTTCACGGAGTTTATTGATGAAGACTAAAACCACAGCCAGGGGAGGTTAGCCAAGATAACAAATTGAATAAACCTGTGTCCGCTCTATTCAATTTGGACAGAAAATTATTTTGATCATTTATTTTCTTATCTAAATAATTTAGAGTTTGCACGCTCCTAGCAGCCACAACGGCAATAATCGAGCGAGTGGCTCTTTGTTTGATTTATTTATTCAAGGTTTTCACACCTAAATCAAAGATGGCGATGAAGCTTGGTCGCTCACTGTCCATCGCTGAGAGTTCTTTCGAACGCAGAGATGAATTTGTGTTCTGTACTGTTTAAACGGCGACTAATCATGCAGGAGTGAAAATTGGATTTCGTTTTTTTTTTTGGTGATCATACAAACTACATGCTGGCACTAAACACGTTTGAGTGTTATCGCACTAATAAAGTATGAATATTCTGTTATGCTTTGAGCGTCAATTGTTTGTCGAAGATTTTGAGCTAGTTACACACACAAGGGTCAAACATTCAAATGCTAAAATAAGCGATAACACTACGGTGATTATGTTCCATTAAACAGGAGAAAAGAAACGTTTAATTCAGGGACCAGAACTTCGTTGTCTTGGTATCCAGAGGCAACACTGATATTTTGACAAGAACGCCTTTGTTTCATAGTAAAAATGCGGCTTGAAAATCCTCTCGTTTAGTCTTTTTAGTTTTGATCAAGTTTTCTGAGCTAAAACGTCCCAAATATATCTATTGCTCACCACGAAAACCACGATAAAAGAAGGCAACCATCAATGTCTAGGGTGCATTGAAATCAAACTTTGATATGTCTACTCTTTTGTTTGGGGCCTATTCAACTAAAATTTAATGGCGAAATTACTCGCTGCCAGTACAAGAAGCTATAAAAACCATACAATAAAAGCGTTATGTCTTTTGAACAACACAATATAAAAGTTTTCAAAGGAATCGCTCAGCCTCAAACGTAACACAGTCGTCGACTCTTTGTAAGCGAAAGTAAGATAATGTAACTTCTTGTGACGCGTATAAACACTTATTTGTTTCACTAAAATGGCGCCGATACAAGAACGAGTGGAAAACAGAGCGTTCTTCTCAGTTTTATTCTTTTTTGTCTCTTTTAAAACTTGTTACAAAGCTATTTTGCCTTTTTACGCTAAGGATGTCGTAAAAGATAAAATTAACGATAAAATGGTAGACTGAACTAGCCATTAGCAACGAAAATTACACCCATAGCATAGGGCAAAGTAAATAATGAAGGCACGACTGAATGCTAACGAGTCTTTAAGTGCCAAATGTCTTGGAAATTCATTCACGTTCAGTTCATTTAGGCAGGATACTGTGTAGGACATGCAAAGAATAGCGAATTGTCTGCCGTCGCTCTTTGTAAAGACGTGAATTTAAGCCAAAAAGCATACTACCAAGTGCTGCATGAAAAGTTGGAGCGACAGAATGAGGCCGTCATGTTTCGGCTCTTGTCTTTGATGGTTTGAGAATTTGCATTTGCCCTCAAGCGTGCAAGTGCTGTGGTTAAGAATAAAAACACAAAATGCAATAAAGGTAAATTGTATCCGTTAAATACACGGCTGAGCTAGCCGAAAGTTAGTCACGGCGAAATTCAAGCAATTTCTTAGGATTTACTTTGCCAGGAACTGAGAGACCTTCTTCTTTGGCATTTTGGCAGTTTCGCTTTGGCAAACTGAAACATGGAGTGAAGCTTACGACTTTGACCCTTTTTCAAACCACGGTGTGAAGCTACACCTGTCCTAGCGGACTAAACAGGAAACAGCTGAAAGCGAAAACTAAAGATTTTTCTAACGACATTTTAATTTCTTCTCTATGAGTCGTTTAGTATGCTTGAGTTAACTAGGACTACAACTCTCCGGCATACTGTGATTTGATGCTCTGACCGATAAATCCCAGCCACATATTATTAAAAGCGTACTGAACCTTCACGGTTGAAAATCATTTTCGCTCGACACGAGGCCGGAAAAGCCGAGGAAATAGAAACAATTCTTTTCTATCTGTGGCGAGAAGAACGCACGCAGAGATTTTCAAAGAGACACATTGAGTTGAATTGTCAAAACAACTTGGCGGCTTTTTGTACCAATGAATAGCGATAAAGAATATGCCTTTTCTTCAGTAACAAGTTGAGGTTGTCGAATTCCTAAAGCTATTTGAATTAACAAAATCGTTCTTTAAGAAAAATCGTTGTGACTGTTGATTTCATTGTCTCTCTTTATGTTTGGATTAATGCCTTCACTCCCATTTTTCTATTCTGAGGGATGCATCCTTCAAAATGACACCAAGTGATTCACTGGCCTTTATTCACTTCTTGAGCATCGGTCAAACAAGGTGAAAACTTGTCTATTTGTGAATAAATTGGATCCGTAAAGAACCTTTAATTATTGGGGTTTTTTTTGCATTTTTTAGTGGCGGGTTTTTTTTGCTTGGTTTCGGTCCCTCGGGCACAACATCAATCTCCTCCCACTTAGTGGAGCACGTTCATGGTGCATGAATCACCCCACTTGTCAACAACGTTAATCCAAGATCTTTTAATTAAAAAGCCCTATTGAAATCGCCGACCGGAATTGCGATTTTCATTTGCTTTGTTTATCTAGATGTTTAAGAAGAAAAAAAAACCCAGCCAGTCACAGAAATTTACTTCCAATACTGGGTATATCTGCTTCTGAAAACGCATTGAAATAATTCGCTTATTAGCAGATATTCGACTTGGCACTATTGTAACACGCGCTAATCGAAAATGTTATCTACCCGGTTTTTTCTCTTAACACGGACTAAACAACTTTAAAAGCACCAGATTTTAAATAATTTTCTTTCTGTTTTATGGCAATGTGTGTTAAGTCATGGAGCAATCAGTGGAGCCTTGAGCGGAAAAGTAACACTCCATGACGCCTTTACAATCATTAATTCCTTTTCAATCTTCGAACAACTGCTGGTGTCTAAATGAATACTTAATTTGGATTCAACCATAATCTCATGAAAAAAGTATCTTTTAGTTTAAGAGTGTTCATCGACACGTCTCCTCGTTTCATCTTCAAATAAAAAAGAAAAACTCATTTTCAAGACTTCAATAATAATAAATCTTTAACTCGGTCCTTATGACAACTAGCATGAGACAGCCATCAAGTCGTAAACAACGCTCTAGCAAAAAAATTTGCATATGAATTTGTCAAAATAACAAAGTTAGGAAAAAACTCCACTTCGCGGCCGCAACAGCGAGTGTTTAAAAGTGTTCTGTGAACCGGTCAATTGACCGGACAAGAGTCGGGAGTTGCTTATAAATGTTGTATCTACTTTCTTTTAAAAGATTTCTAAAGGGACTGACCCATTTTATGTTCTTTAAGGAACTGAACAACAGCCCTTTAATTGCGGAGAGAATGAATACTATGGGAATAATGCTAGCAATAGAATTAACCCCCAAGGACTTTTTAGCGTTAATTGCTTTGGTAATGAATTTTCGTTTGCAGTGAAAGAAAAGGGGTCAGCGAAATTGAATGCAGGTTGATAACCTACCCGCTTTGCGCACTCAGCGTGTTGATTAGCAAAGATACGCAGCAACGCGCAGCCCTGCTGGGCCATTGAACGCCTCTTGCACAGTTGATTGAAGATCTTAGAAAGCAGCGAAACATGCAGCGTGCCACGAGAATTGTGTTTATACTAACCGCAAGCTAATTATGATCTTGAAATTTCCATTTAGAGTGAAACTTGAGTGATCTTTCCTTGACTACGCCGAGTTCTCTTAGAGCCGCAATACAAGAGAACTAGCAAGGGTTCATGGTTTAGAATGTTATTTTACCGCAAAAAATCTCAAGTGTAAACAGGGGAACTTCATTTTTTAACGTTAAGTATTGTCTTATGTGCTCTTTACAGAGAAATTATTACACAAAACTTTGGTGTATATTGAACACGTATTTTATTATCTATTTTGAAAGAATCAGCCAATAGGGGTTTTACGGGAATATAACACTAGACTTCACGCAAATTATTTCCCCGTTGCTTGGAATCTTCATAGTACCCGAAAAGTGTCAGGAAGACAGCAAGAAAATTAAATTCTAAATAGAGTTAACTAGTACACAATTCAAGTCAAAGCTTAAACTATATTTCATTTATATGACATGGCTGGAAATAAGTTCAGTGAATCATGTAGCTAGATCTCAAAACACCATGATGGAGTAAAAGCTGCTCTTATGGATTTACTTGATATAAACACAAAACTAGTGCGAGCTTTTTATGTGATGGTGGCGCGAGAAAAGAGAACTTACATTCTAGCTTTCGAAATAAGAATGATTTTCGTCCTTTTTCTCGCTCGCAGCGTTTTCTAAAAGAAATAGCAAACATTTTCTCTGTGTTCCTATATCGAGTCATAAAAACACTTGTAAATGTTTGGGAGAACTCGAAAAAGCTGTGGAAACACTCGCCTGCGGGTCGTGTTCTCGCAGTATTTCTCATTTCCCCAGGCTTCCACTCGTGTTCCTATGACTCCACAGGAACATAAAAATGTTTTCTATTGTTTTTTTAATGTTCAAGTACTGAACTGGTTTTGTGCATACTGTAAAATTTAGTGATTCCCTGCCCGTCGGACTGAGCATTATCTATTCCAGTCTCTGCTCTCTCCTTTCTCCATTCTATATAGCGTTTGAACTCAAGCGGGAAAAAGAGAGCCCTGGATAACTTGCATGTTCTGCTCAGAATGAACCAACCGTAGTCTGGAGTTTACGGGCGCACTAGTATTTAAATTGCTCGTTCAAATGACGAATTCAACATGTCATATGTTTCTGGTAAGTACTGTGAAATAACCAGTTTTTCTTCATGAATTAAAGTACGTGATATTCAGATAGCCGTTTTGGCTCTTAGTTCTTAGCATACAAAGGCTAGGTTAAGTTCTGTTCTTAACGTTGTGCTGTTGTTCCCGCTTGTAATTAACCGATGGCTATTTGGCGCGCACGTGTACTTTCAAAAGTTCTGCCATATATGGTTCTACCCCTAGAAAAATTGGCGGCGTACTGAGCATGCGCATGTAAGTTATCCTGGACTCTCTTCTCTTGCCTGAGAAGAGAGAGTTCAGGGACTGGTCAGGCATTATCTCAGAAGTAGACCTGTTTATTGCAGTGTATTGTCAGTTACAATCTGATGGAAAAAAATAATCTTTTTAACCTCTTGTAATCTTATTAACTCTCCGTAAAGCAGTCAGTTCAACTTTACGAAGCTTTACGGATCTCGTAATGTCACGTAAACTCGCGTGTCACGATCGGTTTCCCCGCGAGTGTCGTTCACTGGACAAAAAGTACAAGAAACTTTTCATGTGTTTCCACGAACGTTTGGTAAAACATTACAGGTATTTATTTTATGTTCCATGCATCTGGCCCATCTCAGTGTTCAAAGCGTGGATAGATCGGTTTGTTTTCCGCTGGTGATTTTAT